GGAGGAGGAGGAGGAAGAGGAGGAGGAGGAGAAAGAGGCGATGGAGGAGGAGGAGGAGGAGGAGTAGGAGGATGGAGTGGAAGACGAGGAGGAGGAGGAGGAGGAGGAGGAAGACGAGGACGAGGAGGAGGCTCACCTTAGAGACGGGTAGAGGAGCAGCTCCGGGCGATGGCTCCAGCGGAGGCGGCTATGCCTGCAGCAGCGGGGCAGCAGGGCAGCGGGCAGCGGGGCAGCGAGGAGGAAGAGGAGGAGGAGGAAGAGGAGGAGGAGGAGGAGGAGGAGGAGGAGGAGGAGGAGGAGAAAGACGAGGAGGAGGAAGACAAGGAGGAGGAGGAGGAGGAGAAGTGAGGTGAGGACGAGGAGGAGGAGGGGGTGAAAGACGAGGAGGAGGAGGAGGAGGAGGGAAGGAGGAGGATGAAGTGTAGGAAGAGGAGGCCCACCTTAGCGACGGGTGGAGGAGCAGCTCCCGACAATGGCTCCAGTGGAGGCGGCTATGCCTGCAGCAGCGCGGCAGTGGGGCAGCGGGGCAGCAAGCAACGAGGCAGCGAGCAGCGGGGAGGCGGGGCAGCGGGGCAGCGAGCAGCAGGGAGGCAAGGCTGAGGGGAGGCGGGGCTGTGCAATTTCGAATTCAAAATTGGCCCGATCTGGGCCGTCGATCTTGGTGGACCGACGGCCCAGATCGGGCCATTTTTTTTTCGAAATCTGCGGGTCTTGCCCATGATCCACCACCGTGAGGTGTTGCCAGGGGTTGATCAAAACCCCTTGGCACCCCTAAACCCCAAGAAGAAGCCCTGCGCCTATTTTGCGCAGGCCCGGGAATGTGTATTTCCGGGTTCTTCCGGGGTGATTTTTCCGGCTGGATAATCCGGATGGTCCTGGGCCATCTGGATATCCGGGGAAAAAAACTTAGCTTTTGCTTAAGTGTTGTTTGTGTGTATTATTTTTGTGGATTGGATCTTGTTTGTTATTGAGGTTAGCTGTTCCGTCCACTGCCGCATCGGTTTTGCTGCTCTCGGTGTCCGAGTCCCTGCTGTCCTCCTTTGCTGCTGCGGAGCCCAGACTGTATTCTCCTGCGCTGCTGTGGCATACTGCACATCCACACGGGCCTGCAAGGCCCGACCAAACAAGGAGTAAGGGCCCTACAGGCCCTGTGTCGTTTTCAGCCTGAAAGCCTGAAAACAAGGGCCTACAGGCCCTGTGTCGTTCTCAGCCTGAAAGCCTGAAAACAAGGGCCTGCAGGGCCTGTGCCGTTTCAGCCTGAAAGCCTGAAAACGAGGGCCT